TGTTGTTGTTGTGCTAGAACTCAAATCTAGGGTCTCATGCATGCGGTCAAGTGCTTGACCACTGCGCCATAACATGCTGCCTCCTCAATTCTTGTTTTAAAAATAGATGATAGATTTTGGAGGTGTCTGATATCAAAATTTTAAGCCCTCAAGGTGTGAAAAACATGTTCCTGAACCAAATCAAGAGCTCTCTTTTGGAATGATGGTACAGATCAGAGTGTGTACTTAGCACATATGAGGTCCTGGGTTTAGTATCCACCCCTACTAAAAACACAACCAAAACCAATCCCTTTCCTCCATCAAATACCTAGCAAGCATAGAGATACTCACTTGTTCAGATCAATTTCATAAGTCTGCATGTGAGGTTTATCTCCGGTCTTGTCAGGGTCCCATCGATAGATGGCAAATTTCTTAATTCGAGGAACTGCGGCTGCAGCTGTCTGAGCCCCTCGGCAGGCCTCAAATTTAAAATGTTCACAGGAAGCGGGAAAGAAAAAGCAAGATAATTCAATTTAGCTGTCACAATAAACTACAGCACTGAATCTAAATCCACATATCACTCATACACAGCCTTCTTGAGAAAGGCACCGTTATCCAACATCCCAAGCACCTGTGATATACCAGGCATGGTGCTAGGGGCAGGGGACAGAGCACTTATTAAAACAGCGAAAGCTACTGGGCGGAGTGATGCACACCTGCGATCCCATCTACTTGGGAGACAGAGGCAGGAGCAACTTGAGAGAGAGACCTTGTCTTAAAATAAAATTTTAATAAAAGGGCTGAGGACATCACTCTGAGGCAGAATGCTCCTGGGTTCAACCGCTAGTGCTTCCAAAAAAAAACCCCAAACAAAACAAAACCCAAACACCTTTATCTTCATTGAACTTTGGCTTTGTAGTGAACAAATGTGAAATGAAATATTCACAGGAAAGTGTAAAGTGTGATCCTACAGGGAGCCCTGGGGATATGGGAGGGACTTAAACCAGTGTAACAGATCAGAAAAGCCTCATCAAATGATGTTTAAGCACAGATAGGATTAGGAGAAAGGGGCGCTCTGGCTGAGGGAATGGCACACCTGAAGGCCTGAAGTGGGGAGTACGGTGCAGTATGAGGAGCAGAAGGCCGGTGGCCTGGGGAAGGACCGGGAGTGGCAGATGTGAGGAAGTAAAACTTTTTTCTTGTAAATACCAGAGACTGAATCCAATGGCACTAAATCACTGAGCCACATCTCCAGCCCTTTTTGAGACAGGGTCTTGCAAAGTTGATGAGGTTGGCCTTGAACTTATGATCCTCCTGCCTCAGCCTCCCCAGCTGCTGGGATTACAGGCATGTGCCACTATGCCCAGCCTTAAGCTGAATTTTCATTTTATCCTAAGAGCAATGAGAAGCCAGCAAAACTTTTT